AAAATTAAAAGAAAAGAAATAATAAAGATCAGAGCAGAAATAAATGAAGTTGAAATGAAATAATACAAAAGATCAATAAAACAAAAAGTTGGTGTTTTGAAAAGTTAAATAAAATTGACAGACCTTTAGCCAGAGTAATAATAAAAGAGAAGAACCAAATAAATAGAGTCAAAGATGGAAAAGAGGACATTACAACTGATACTGCTCTTTCTTACTCCTTTAATCCAGTGCTTCTCTCATAGGTTAAAAATTTTACATATTTTAACCAGAGTTCCTGGGGGCATTAGTGTTTCATAAGCTAGAGAATCAATATTTGGCTGTTATGTTGAATAATGACTGCCTTTATCCTGTTTGCAGAGGGAATAAAAGCTAATGAATATAATTTCTCAATTCAAATTGTTCTCCAACAATGTTTTACAAGGCTTTGGCTTCAGACCACTTTTCTGCTAGAGATCGCCCATATACGACAGAAGAAAATAAAATTGCAAATTTATGTCAATAGGAAACCTCAAAATTAACCATTTGCTCTTGGTTCAACTATTTGTTGAGTGTTATTTTAAGACATGTGGGCTGGTGGTTGTGATTTCATACATTATACAAATAATATAAGGTAGATTAAAATATAAAGGTGAAATAAAAAATGTATTGATTTGTATTTTTTAAATTACTACAGAGAATATAGTGTTCTGCAAATAAGAGCAAACGTGATGAATCTCTGTCTCCTGAACAAGTATGAGGTGTCCTGACTTGACTTGGAAAAATAAGCGTTATATTCCTCTAAAGACTGAATAGAAAAAAATTGTGGGCAAAGGCTACATCTAAAACACATGTAATGTGTCAAATAATTAGACAGTTATTTTGAACTATTGCTAAAATTGGTATGTCTGAAGATTCAAACCACTATTTGCGTTTCATTACTGAGCCTCAGAATTGCAGATCTAAGACCTTAGTGTTGTTTTTCAACAGGATTTTGTGATTGGGAAGGCCCATGAAAATTACTTTGGACAAACTGTCTGAAACTTGAAACTCCCAATACATGTCCTTTAGCCTTTCTTTGAATATACCCAGTAGGACTTTAATGTGACCCTAACTTTGAGGTAAAATTATAGCATCTGTGTCTGAGGCTATCATTTACCTGTGGATCTACATGAAAGAAATGAATTGACTGAGTACATTTTTAGACTTGCAAAATGCTTTATAATAAGAATTTATACTGTTTTTATGTGGGCATAAATATGAAATTGAATTTCTACAATTGTATTCCAAACTCTTTGACTCTTAGACAATGGAACATGTCATAGTGTTTAAAATTGTAAACCCAAACTGAATATTACTCAACTGCTTATTACCCATGGCTTGAGAGGGGAAGAAAATTCTCTTCATATATGTTGCCTTCATTCATGCAAGACATTTTATTTGTATTACCAATTTAATAAAATCTTGCTGTGCAAATCTTCTCCACATATGGAGACAGAGAACGAAAATATATAAAGCCAGTTATTTGTGTTCTTCAACTCCAAAAACTGTGTATATGTAATATTTTGTCTGTTTTACAAATTTAAGAATATGGAATTTTGCCACTTTTCATTTTTTTTTCTTAAAGTAGAAATCTCAAAACATGAAACTCAGTTTTCATTACCTTATTTTGACCCATATCTACTATTAGGGGCTTCAATTCCCCAACAAAATTCGGCTATTTCCCAATGTGAGGTAAAGCAAAAGAGAATTGACAGAGAGCCAAAAAGACAAGGAGAGGGTGATTTGAGACCAGAATAGAAAGAGCAGGATAAAGCTGTTTCAGGAATGGACAAGCGTTCAGGCAAATACCACAGAAAAAGGAAGATAAACAGCCAGTATAGTGAGAAGCACTCTCTAACAGATGGACGAGACTAAATCCTGGCTCTGCCTTTTACTGGCTATAATACCCTGAAAGAGCAATTTCATCTCTCAGAACTTCCACTTCTTCATTTGAAAAATGAGGAAATTCCCATCTCCTAGAGCTGTGGTGAAAGATCTAGGTAAAGATTATTGCACTGGCTGGGCACAATGGCTCACGCCTGAATCCCAACATTTTAGGAAGCTGAGGCAGGCCGTTCGCTTGAGGTCAGGAGTACAAGACCAGTCTGGCCAACATGGCAAAACTCCATCTCTACTAAATATGCAAAAATTAGCCAGGCATCATGGCGCATGCCTGTAGTCTCAGCTACTTGGGAGGCTGGGGCAGTACAATCACTTGAACCTGGGAGGCAGAGGTTGCAGTGAGCCAAGATTGTGCCATTGCACTCCAGCCTGGATGACAGAGCAAAATTTCATCTCAAAAAAAAAAAGATTATTGCCCTTCATGCAGTGTTTCTGCTTCTCCCTTTCAGCTCTTGCTGACCCTTTCCTTCCTGAGAAGAAATAGCCATGTTTATGACACAATTAACATCTGAGTCTGTGCATCCCAAACTGAGCCTTCTATTTTAATCTTTTTGCTATAGAGAAATTCAGATATTTACAGCAAAAAAAAATCATATAACTGTGAATCTCCATATAACTATTTTTTAGCTTCAATAATTACAAGTCATGGCCCAACTTTTTCATCTACATTCTTGTCTGCTTCCTACCCTCTGTATTAATTAGAAACAGAGGACGCATATCATTTTATCTATAAACTTTTAGTTTATAGTATCACTAAAAGATAAGAATGCTTTTCAAAAAACATAATCATGATACCACATCACACCTAGAATATTTACCAGTTATTTCCTAATATTATTAAATACTGTGTGCTTAAGTTTCTAATGTCATAAATTTTACAGTTTGCTTGAATTAGGATGTTATATCCACAAATTACAAAAAGTTTCTTTTAAGTCTCTTAATTGATTAGCTAACATGCTCTTCTGTTCTCTGTATTACATGTAAAGTAGAGGATTCATCAGATTTAGGTTGATTTTGTTGCTGTTAATGGTATTATTGCTACTCTCACTCTCTGTCCAATAAGTTATGTCAACCACATGAATAGTATCAAGTGGTTTAGTTATTGATGATGTAATTTTTTCCAAACTGATAAACAATTCTTGGAAATGTCTGAACAAATCAATATATAATCTTTCCTCAATTTAAACAATAAATATTTACACCCTGAAAACTGGTATATATTAAAACTGCAAAAATATTTTGTATTTATATGAACTATAGAGCTATGCTTTAAGCTCAGGTAATTCTAATCTTTTTGTTGTTGTTGTTGTTGACAGAGTCTGACCCTGTCACCCAGGCTGGAGTGCAGTGGTACGATCTCAGCTCACTGCATTTCTGCCTCCCTAGAGGTGATTGTCCTGCCTCAGCCTCCAGAGTAGCTGGGATTACAGGCACCTGCCACCAGCAAATTTTTCTATTTTTTTAGTAGAGATGGGGTTTCACTGGCCAGGCCAGTCTTGAACTCCTGGCCTCAAGTGATTCACTTCCTTTGGCCCCCCCAAAGTGCTGGGATCACAGGCAGGAGCCACTGTTCCCAGCCAGATAATTGTAATCTATTTTTCACCTGCACGAATGTATAGAAAGGCACATGTTACATGGGAACATTATTTAGTAAGTAGGATTATCTGCCACATTGTAGAAAGTCTAGCATCTCTGGGTCCTATCTACCAATGCCACTAATACCCGACCCAAATCTTTATGACTACTATCAACATCCTCTTATGTTTACAAAATGTTCTCTATGGTTCACTTTGTCCCCTGTTGAAAACCACTAAATTAGTTTAAGCAAAAATAAAACAGGAAATTGGTTTTCGTTGCATGTAGGCAGTAATTTTAGAAACGAAAATAAGAAAAATGTCTTGCATGGGGAATGAATATTGAAACACTCACAAATTTAAAGCCTTCACGTTTTTCTCTGCTGACAGAATTTTATTTCTCCAAAATATGTTGGAAACCATGAGCAGGATCTCTGATAAAACCAATGAGGTCATAATGACTTCATGCTAATATATGCAGTTCAAGTAGAGCAATTTTAACAGCTAGGAAACCATCCAGACTGGTACGAGTAGGGAGACTGGGAGAGTGACAAGAAATGACAAGCCCATTTTTAATTCTTTGCTAAGCATAGGTAAAAATTTATAAACCTTCTGATGCTACATTTAAATAATTGGCCCATAATGTTCATAAGGAATTGTGCTACATCTCTGAGATGAAGGAAATACAGTCAACTGTTTACTTTCCTTTAACTTACCTTATTATATGATATACATCTTGTCTTTTTCTTTTGGCTTTTTAAAGCAGTTCCTTTATTGTCTCTAAAAATTATTTTCAAATCTGTATTTGAAGATATTTTAGTGTTATTTTTGAAAGCAGTTATTATTTATTCATGGTACCTAGCCAGTTTTTAATACATAGTGGAATCTTATCAAATATTTTTAATAAACTCACTCATCCAGTAATCACCATTTATATATCTTACTGTACAGAATCATAGACTTTCATATTTGCTAATTTTATCGTCATAGTATCATTATCATGAAATATTAAGTGCAGGTGTTTTACACAGAGCAGAAACTGAATTAAGCGGTTTCTTCTAAATCACACTGCTGGCATAACTAGGAGAAGAATTTAGGTGTTCTGGCTTTGATTTTACTATTTCTACCACTAGACTTTTTGCATTGAAGTTTTATGGTTTCTATTCTTGCTGCCTAGCGGTTTCCATGTGTTCAAAGTATTTGTTGAGAGAGAGAAAGAAAAAAAGAGTTGTGATTAATTTCTCCAGTATTTACATCCTGGGTTTGACTCTTACACAAAACAAGATATCAAAAATTTTGATGGCAAAGCCTGGTGGAAGATAGGGCTCTCCTAAGAGCAAGTTACATTGTTTAATGTCCTCAAACTGCAAATGAGGTACAACATCAACATAGCAATTGTTCAGAAACTGGAATTTGGTTACTATGGAGACATTACCTCATAGTTCTAAGAGGCAGTGTTGGCCAGGTGCAAAAATTGTAGTCATAAAGTTCTCTTTGCCAAGTTACTGCCCTGTCTCTCAAACTGCTTCTAGGGAATGCTAAACACCTTCACCATAGTTCTTCTGATACCCCTAGTCAAGATCAGGATTGGCTATGTTGGTATTTACACATTCACATAAGAATTCTGGTCATGGTACCAGTTTGGTAAAGAAATTATTAAACCTGGCTGATGCTTGAAGGTGGTTGGATTTACAGGAAACGTCACTTTCAAAAAAAATCTGCCTTGAACCTCAGCAATATTCACTGTCCGATGTCATGATCTGCTTTCCTAGGAAAGAAAAGAGACTTCTCTTCTAGCCAAGATGAAAGATACAAAAGACATTCAGGAAGCACCAGAGGCAATTCAGAATAAAGTCGACAAGCAGGAAGATAAGATGGAGAAGCAAGAGCAGTGAGTATGCATAGATGAGATGAGAGCAGAGCTGAGTTATAGAGAAGGAATGATGGTATGCTTGACCTCTTTTGTTTTAATACTCGTATGAAGCAGTTAGAACTAGAATAGATCCCACAAATGTTCTAGAAATAATAAACTGTAGCATACAACTACTTCCACAACTACTGTTTTATAAGATTCTAGTCCTTGAGAGGTATAAAAACCCACCTGGACAGATCTCTATCATATAAGACCTAGCTGAGATTCCAAAGTTCCCATTTAATATGTTAAGGCAATTTACAGAAATAGTTTCTTTCTGGAACTATTTTACAGACCTGGGGACAAAAAGAAATTACCAGAATATTGGTTTTGTAAATGTCTGTGAGAATGTTATATAAAATTATAATCCCTATTTTTACATTTAATGCAAATCATTCATCAACTAAAGCATTACCATTGGTTTTCCAATGTTTACTTTAAAATTGACTTATTATTGAGTATACAGAATTTAAAGCTATTGTTGCTTTGGACCTAGAAGTCCTATGTTTATTGTTCAATCCAAGTCTATTTTTTTTTTTTTTTTTTTTTTGAGATGGAGTTTCGCTCCTTACCCAGGCTGGAGTGCAATGGCGCGATATCGGCTCACGGCAACCTCCGCCTCCTGGGTTCAGGCAATTCTCCTGCCTCAGCCTCCTGAGTAGCTGGAATTACAGGCACGCACCACCATGCACAGCTAATTTTTTTTCTTTTTTTAGTAGAGACAGGGTTTCACCATATTGACCAGGATAGTCTCGATCTGTTGACCTCGTGATCCACCCGCCGCGGCCCCCCAAAGTGCTGGGATTACAGGCTTGAGCCACCGCGCCCGGCCAATCCAAGTCTATTTTTAAATATTTGTTCTTAGGGGACCTCTGAGAAATGATCATTGTTAATATTATCAATGCTAGAACTGAGCTTTTGTAACTGCCCCTGGTTTAATGTTAACCAATTACAGAGAAATTGAAATACCAAAAAGGGCTCAGAAAATTACTTTTGCTTAAGGGAAAGTTAACTAAGCACTGAGAAAAATCACTCATCTTCCAAATGGAGTCTTATAGGTTGACAACTGGAAGGTTCAGATGATGGGCTGTATCATATGAGTTTGTTCCTGAAATGTCTCAGCTCTTCCAGAGACATGTGCAGCTATTACAAATTTCTTATTTGACCAGGCACAGTGGCTCATGCCTGTAATTCTAGCAGTTTGGGAGGCCAAGGCAAAAGAATCACTTGGGGCCAGGACCTAGAGACCAGCCTGGGCAACATAGCAACACCACGTCTACAAAATTTTTTTCAAAATTAGCAGGCATGGCGCCATGTGTCTGTAGTCTCAGCTACTTGGGAGGCTGAGGCAAGAGGATCACTTGAACCCAGGAGTTGGTGGTTGCAGTCAGCCTGGATGATAAAGCAAGACCGTCTCATAAAAAAAATAATAAAATAAATTTCTTATTCACCTACCAAAATAAGAACACCCTGTATCTCCAGGACAGGTTTCTCTGATTGCAAAGATTTTGTTAAGGCTTATTGGGAATCTTTTGTGAAATTAAATTTATTTTAAAGTGCCATTGTTTACTAGAGGAAAAAATTGAGAGCTTATAAGATGAACATGCCAAAAAGAATAGCCAGTCAGTTATGAAACCCAGATGTAAGGAATGTTGAAAGAGAAAAGCGCTTCTCTGCTGTTACAGTCAATGTCGGGGAGAAGTCCTGTCACACAATCCTGCCTCATGTTGAACAAAGATGAAATATCTGTAATCTGACAATTTACCTCTAAAGTCTCCTTCCCACTACCTCTACAGTCATACTCAATAGTGTATCTTTATGGGTTAGAGCTTTTCGGGAAAATATGAATGCTTGGAGTGTCAGCAGGATGTTAAGTGTACATGCTTATTAAGCATTAGGCCAGTAGTCATGAAATTTTCAAAGCCAATGCCATTTAATTATTTAAAAAATTTGTCTGAGACATCTGTGTCTTCTGAGAGGCACATATAAAGCAGTCTAGTTTTGAATAGAAAACTCCAGGTATAAGATTTCTGATAAAGGAACTTTCAAATTGTAGAACAAAATGATTGTGAATACCCCTTGGTAAACAAAGAGATATTGAGGGTGACAGCAGCAGGTAGGAAACTCCAGGCCCTCATTCTCCTATAAGAACCTACAAGAAACTAGCTAAAATAACTTTATATAAGAGCTCTGGGAAATAGATCAAAACAGAGATCATTGATGGAGGCAAAATAATTAGTTCCTGACTTACAGTGGATAGATATGTGGACCCCATAAAGGAGATGGTTGAACTGGCCATTTGTCCCGTTTTTCAAAGAAATAAAGGGTTTGGACTTGAGGACTTTGTTCACAATTTAATGTAAGCATTGAACACACGTGCACACATGCACCCACCAAAATTACTTTGAGATCACCGGGAAGAGCCTCAATGTGACTCATGAAATGAAATGTCCTAAGTCTTTTCATGATTCATGTCATGAAAGTGTTGTTTAACTTGTAAAATAATACTACTGTAGCTTTTGGACCTTGTTCAAATGATTGTGCACTAGTTAACAAATGCTTTTATAGTTATAAAAAAGAAAGGAAAATCTTTGTTCATAGTAAGAGTCATTTATAAAAGTAGTATATGAAAATGATCTTCTCCCTCTTTTCTGTCATTCCCTCCAATACACATACATACACAAATATGCACAGTTTATTTGAAGGCAGACATTAACTAAACAATCTTAATTAAAGAGAAAAGTTGGTTAAGCAGCAACAGGAATTAAAGGAAAAGCGTATGTAGGAAACAAGGATACATTAAACCAGAATTATAATCATGATTTTATGATAATGGAAAGGGGAAATATGATAAGTGATCAAAGTGGAGTTATAAATGGCTTATAAAGTACCGACTTAGAGTAAAACATACATTTAAAAGCCTGGAAGGAGATAGTAAAATGTCTTATTGGTGGCATTGTAGTGATTATTATTATCTTTTTTCTAGTTACACGTTTTCAGAACTATCTATAATAGGAATTTATTAATATTCAAATATTTTAAAAGCATATAATAAACTGATAATAAAGTGTTTTATTTCAGTTGTTAAAACTAGAAATACAAGATGTTATTTGCTGGTGATGCATACTACCTTTGAAAAGCAGAATTCTGGCTAATAATGATAGCCCATGCTTCTTTTATTCACAGCCACTTTGACTTTCCAATTTATTTATTTTGTTTATTATAATTTTTATACACAGAAGAGAAGACAAACTTGGAGATCCCCCAGTACGTTCTTCAGTACATTTTCAAAAACCAAAGATAAAGGGTTCAGTTTCTACAACACTGCCATCATCATCTTCATTATCCAGTGGAATAACTCTTGGCTACTATCTCTCTAGTCCTTGGATTAGTGGAGTAACTTTATCAACAACTGGACAATTGACTTCTAGAGCTACTCGAGGTAATGATTCCCAAGAGGAAATCAGCTTCGGTAAGCAAAATATGGACCTCATATTTTTAGAGTACTTTTAAAGCATATGTTTCAATAGATTGTTTATGTGACTCTTAGCCAGAATGATGTTTTATTATCAGCACCCCAAAATGCTAACTTCTTAGCATCCTATGAAAAGTAACTTAACTATGGTCATCACTAGAACTGGAGTCTTAAATTCATGCCACATACATGTATGTGCCAAATATATCATCCTTATAATTAAGATATCTTGAGTTATCATGATGGTTCATGAGTTGACTAACATACATCAGAATTGCTAGAGAATTAAAAATTCCAATGTATAGCATTAACTGTCCTTCCTCTGAACACTACCACAAGGATTAAACCACATCTTGTGTATTTTGTGCCTTTAGTTGATACATGGCTTAAGTAAGGAATAGAAAGACAGATGAGAGAAAGAAGAAATATAAAGTAGGTATAAAATAATGTAGATAAAATGCGAAAACAGTAAAGAGAACTTGAAAAAAAGGAAAATAAAAACAGTACCAAAATAACAAAAAGTAAAGTTTTGACTATTGTCAACAATGTGCTCAGCAATACCCATGCTCCAGGGTGTTTGTTTCTCCCATGTTTAGGGAACTTTGAGGGTGTGTTTTCATGGTTTACTGAAAACACTCTCATCCTTTGAAACACAGAACCTACTGTTTTTCTACAATGTTAGGCCTTAGGTAGAGTACTTAACATTTCTGTATCTCATTTTCCCCCACAACTGCAAAATAGGGATTAAAATAGAAATGTCACAGGGCTATCCTAAGGATTAAATATTTATGAAAATTACCTAACACATAATAAATACTCAATAAACATTAATTGTGCATCTGAATGTACCTGTAATCACCTTCTTTTAAAATAGACTAGATTTGGGGTCTGTGTTTCAATTGCTAATCAACTAAGTTTCAAAACTAATAGTGCAAATAGTCCAGTGACTATCTGATGCCTCCGTTATCCTCTACCATTATGTGCCCATTTATAGCTTGGCTGCCCTTCATCTATATTTCATTTTGTTTTTAATATATTTCATTTTGTTTCTGATATCTAAAAAAAATTGACATGGGTTAAATAGTGTTTTGTTCTCCTGCCATTATGGTCATATTACCTATATTTCATTTTTTGCATGAAGAGTATAAAATTTCCCAAAAAGACTCCTAAGTTTACACTGACCTTTAAGATGACCAAAACCCATATACTGAAAACACAAGTACAAATTTTAGACCTGGGAAGAAAAGATTTTCTATCATCTGTCATTATATCATCATGGCATATGTTTTATATTTGGATTATACTTCTTCTTCTTGTAATGGGGCAAAAAAAATGAAATATAGTGGCTTCCCCTTACAAGATGGGAGCTGAATTGGGATGTAGTCTTTTCCTTCCATTACTGTAGATACTGCTTCTGTAGATAGATGTCTAGTTTCACTGAGATTTGTTACACTTGGTTCATTGCCATCTTTTGTTCTAGACAAAATAACAACAGGGACCGAAACTAATGTGTCTTCTTTTCTTTTGGAATACCAAGACTTTTATCTTTCAGGATGAGCTGTTAGGAAATATGCCATATATTGTCCTTCCCCAAAGGAATTTAAGGATTAAGGAAGTACTCAACTGAAAATGAACTAATTTAATTCCAACAAAATATTTAGAGGAATCTTCTTTAAATATGATGATTTTATTCCTTTATATCTTTCAGCTTGTTTTGGTTTTGCTAAAGATGTAAGATTCAAACTCTAGATTTTTTTTAATCCTTTTAGGATCTTGGACAAAGAGTCACATTAACCAAAACTCTTGTACTGTACTAATAGCTTTCATTTATTATCAGATAAGTGTTAAACATTATCTAGACACTTATCTACATGATCTCCAACTCTCTTATCTTTTTCCATAAGGTAGTGGTATCTTTATTTTATGTTCAGGAGAATGGAAACTTGGAAAATTTACATCACTTGGCTTAGTAAATGGCAGAACTGAAATAAAATTGCTAGTCTGTCTAAATGCAAGACACATTGTTCTTTCTACTTCATCATGATGCATCTTTGCAGTGTAACTCTTTCTTTGCAAATATATTATTAGATTTGTCCAGAATGGCTCTTTCTGTTCAAAATTATGAAACCTGTTTTGTACTTGAATCAAAGTAGTGAGGATTTAAAAAAGCAAACTTCTAATCAGATACTGCAGTCTGATTCCAGATCACTTTATCTTTCTAATAAAGCATCTTAATTAAATAGAAGTTTAAGTATTTACCTGGCAAAAGTACTAACCATTGCAGGAAAGGATTCATATGAGGCTTTAATTTAAGGGTAGCCATTTAGGGAGTTTAGCAAACATAAAGTACAATAAGGCTATATTTATATGTAACATATCCAAATTTGATAGACTCAAATGTTTTCCCTATTCCCAAATTGATGAGGCTTCTAGCACAACTAAATAATCAGTTAAATAGTCATTATGCTAATGATAGAATTAATTATTTAAGATAACTGAAATAATCTCTAGGAATTGAAGATGCCACTGTAACTATTCCCTTACTGATTATTTTCAAGAATTTTGTTTAAAATTACAACTATTCTCATTAAGTTTGATAGTGATATTAAAATATAAAAATATAATTTTATAGAAGCAGAGAATAAAGATAATGGCTTTGGATCCTTTTAATGTCATTTTACTTACTTCTCTCCTGGTTGCTTCCTTCTTTGGTTTGCTGGAAAGATGCCTTCATAGTTCCAAAGAAACAGGATGAATCACCCATAATCGGGGATGGAGAAGATTATTTCCTTTCTTTGTTTGGTGATTCAAAAAAACGTATAGCACACTCAAGCTACACTGAGAAAACTTTCAAATACTTTTCTTCAATACTTGAAGAAGTTGGCAAGTTTACCTCCAGGTACATGTTTTATTTGAACTACTTAATATCTTCTGTTGGGGTAGGACCAATAAATCAGTAGAAAATAAAGTTATAATCTGCTGTTATATGCATTATCTTATCTAAAACACTAATCAGTTCATTGAAATATAACTTTCATCTTCTGATCAAATAAAATAAATTGACATAATGGTCTGAAGAACCAAACAAGAAATGTGAATTATTCAAAGATGCCAGAATAAACAGTGCTACTGTTTATAATCTTTACTACTTGGGTCAACTCAGTTGTTCAAGATATGTTTTTATTGTTCGTGAATTATTTAGATGGATCCAATATATATTTATTTCTTCTAGTAGCTCTTGAGTTCAAGACAGAAGGAGAAAGATAAATTTTTACCTCATTGATCCATTTTTATGACCATTAGTGTCTATGCAAAAAAAATTGATCAGGAAGAAAGTTAATATTAGGACTAAAATAAAAGAGTTAAGATCTATTCATTTATGTTAATATAATCCTGCTTTACTTATTACATGAACAACATATTGAATTTGAAATGTTAGTAATAGTCCGTGTTAACAGAAGTTATTAGATGGCTGAAAGAAAACAGAGTTGAGGGTCAGACATGAAGGAAATTTTCTCTCCCTTTATGCCATGTTTCCTAAAATCACTCACTCATCCCCTATTACAATTTAACAGTGGAGAATACCTAAACATTCGCTCAGCTCTCTAAAAACACCTCATCAGATCCTTCATTCAGTACCTACTGTGTTAAAATGATGAGCAATTTGGAACAACATACAATGTTGTTGTTAAAATTCAATCATATTAAAAATGTTAGTGTGGAAGCAAGCTGTCTTCAATCCCTATCTAGCCACCCCAGAAAACAAAAACAGATATAGTGCCAAGATTATCATTATCATTATCATTATCATCAGCAGTATCTCAGAACTCAAATATGAGGATGAGACAGTTCCTGAGGCCACAGAGAAGTGAAAAATATTCATATAATAATTAAGCTCTCCAGAGGTCAAGGACAAAGAGAAGAGCCTAAAAGCTGCAGGAAAAAAAGAATTTGTCTAACAACAGACTTCTCAGTGGAAACCATGTAGGTCAGGAGGGAATGAGACAATGTTTTCAGTGTGTTAAAACCCTGCTATCAAAGAATAGTGTATCCAGCCAAGCTATTTTCCATATATGAAGAGATAAAATCCTTCCCTGTCAAAGAAAAGCTAAGAGAATCCACTACCACCAGACCTATATTATAAGAAATGCTAAAGGGAGTTATTCAATCTGAAACAAGAAAACACTAATGTTCAAAAAGAAAACATTTGAAGGTATAAAACCTCTGGTAAAATTAAGTACATGGAAAACTTCATGATTTTAACTGTAGTATGCAATCCACTCATTAGCGTGAATCCCAAAAGACAATTCTATCAAAAACAGTAATAGCTATAGCAATCTGCTAAGAGATAGGCAGTATAAAAATATGTAAATTGGGAAAACTAACAGTCAAAATGTGGAAGGATGAAGTTCAAGTCTAGAGGTTTTTTTCTGTTTTGTTTTTTTCTTTTGTTTCTCTTTTTTTCTATTCTTTCCTTTGCAATTTAAGTATTCATCTCTTTAAAATAATTTGTTATACCTGTAAGATGTTTTTCATAAGCCTCATGTAACCACAATCCAAAAACCTATAATAGATTCACAAAAAGTAAAAAGCAATGAATTAAAACACTACCAAAGAAAATTACTTAACCACAAAAGAATATAGTAACAAAGGACAAAAGGAAGAGACAAGTTATAAAATGACCAAAAAACCAAATAAGTTCTTCTTATCAATAATAATAGTGAATGTAAAATGAACTCAGTTCTCAAATTAAAAGGCATAGAGTGCCTTAAGGAATAAAGAAACAAAATCCAGTTATGTGCTGCCTACAAGAAACCCACTTCACCTACAAAGACACATATAGACTGAAAGTGAAGGGATGGAAAAGCATAGTCCATTCAACTAGAAACCAAAAAGGAGTAGGAATAGCTATACTTATATCAGATAAAATAGACTACAAATCTATGACTATAAAAAGAGACAAAGAAGGTCACTGTATAATGATAAAGGGCTCAATTCAGCAAGAAGATATAATAATTATAATTATCTGTGCACCCAACATCAAACTCCCAAGTATATAAAGCAAACATGGATAGATTTAAACAGAGATATAGACTGCAATAAGTAGTAGGGCACTTTAACATCCTATTCTCAGAAATTGACAGATGAACCAGACAAAAAAAATCACAAAGAAACAGCAGAGTTAAATTGCACTCTAGACCAACTAGGCCTGACATTTGCAGAACATTTCACCCAATTGCTGCAGAATACACATTCTTTTCATCAGCACATGGAGGATTCTCCTGAAAAGACTCTCTCTTAAGCCACAAAACAAATATCAAAAAAGTAAAAATTCTATCAAGTATTTTTGTGACCACAATGGAATAAAACCAGAAATCAATAACAAGAGGAACCTAGGAAAATACAGAAACACATGGAAATTAAGTAACACACTTCTGAGCAACCAATGGATCAGTGAGGAAATAGAGAAAACTTAAAAATGTCTTGAAACAAATGGAAATGGAAACACAACTACCAAAATCTATGGGGTACAATAACAGCAGTACTAAAAGGGAAGTTTATAGCAATAAACACATATATCAAAAAAGTAAAAAGCTTCAAAAAGCTTCAAGTAAACAACCTAACAAGGCATCTCAAGGAACTAGGAAAGCAAGAAAAAATCAAACTGAAAATTAGAAGAAAATAAATAATAAAGATCGGAGAAGAACTTGGAAAGCAAGAAAAAAAACAACTAAATTAGTAGAAGAAAAGAAATAATAAAGATCAGAGAAAAATAAGTGAAATAGAGACTAATAAAGATCAACAAATAAAAAAATTGGTTTTTATCTATGATGTCTGATTATATCAAATACGTTTTATGCATCTATTGAAATGATCATATGGTTTTTCATTTTTAATGTTAAATCATCCCTGTACTATTAAAATAAACACTTGGTCATAATGTTTATTTTTTAGTATACTGTTGAATTCTATTTGTTAAAATATTGTTTCAAACTTTTGCATCAATGTTTTTAAAGATATTGGTCTGTAGTTTTTTTTTCCTATAATGTCCTTGTCTGTTTTGGTGTCAGGATAATTCTACTCTTTACGGAATGAGATGGGATATAGTCTCTACTTTATCCTTTTCTATAAGAGATTGTGTAGAAGTAATTTTTTTCTTTTTCATAAATGTCTTATAGAACTTAATAGTGAAGCCATCTGGGCCTGGTATTTCTTTGTGGCAAAGTTTTAAAACTAAATTGTTTTTAAATAGATACTAGGCTATCCTAATTATTTCCTCTTGAATAAGCTTGGGTAGTTTGTGGCTTTCAAGAAATTTATCCATTTTTATCTAAGTTGTCAAATTTTTTGGCATAATGTCATTTATAATATTCCCTTATTATCCTTTTAATAACTGTAGAATCTTTATTGGTATCATGTTTCTCATTTCTCATATGGTCATCTATATCTTCTCTTTTTCCTGATCAGTATCACTAGAGATTTAGTTTTATTGAGCTCCTCAAACAAAGAACATATGTTTGGTTATATTTGTTTCCCCTATTTTTTGTTTTTTATCTGATTGATTTTCATTTTGGTCTATGTTCCCTCTCTTCTGTATACATTTGGCTTTATTTGCTTTTTTCCCCCTCCCCTAATTTCTTAAGGTGAAATTTGAGGTCATTGATTTGATACCTTCTTCTCTTCTGCTACTAGAGGTATTTAGTGTTATAAATTTTCCTCTAAGTACAGCTTAGTGGCATCCCACAAAATGTTAATATGTTGTATTTTTATTTTTATTTAGTTCAAAATACTTTCTAATTTTTATTTTCTTTTTGATCCTTGGATAATTGAAAAGTGTTATTCAGTTTCAAAGTGTTTTACATATTTTTCAGTTCCAGTGATTTTCCAGATATCTTCTTGTTATTGATTTCTAATTAAATTCCATTGTGGTCAAATAACATATTTTGTAGGACATGAATCCTTTTATGTTCAGTGAGACAAGACTTGTTTTATAGCCAGGATATTAATTATTCTGATGAAGGGTCTAGGTGCACTTGAAAAGAATATGTATTCTGCTGTTATTTAGTAGAAAGTTTCATGTAAATCATGTCATGTTGGTTGTCTACTGTCTTTTTGCTGATTTTTTGTCTGCTTGTATCAATTATTGAGAGAGGGGTATTTATATCTACTAAAGTTGTGGATTTGTTAATTTCTTCCTTCAATTCAATCATTTTTGTTTTATGTATTCTAAAGCTTTGCTATGAGATGTATCACTATAAAATCACTCTTTATCCTGGTAATATTCTTTGTTCTGAAATCTATTTTGTCTGAAATTAATATAGCCACAGCAGCTTTCTTTTTACTGGTATTAGCATGGTATATCTTTTTCCATACTTTAACTTTTGAACTATTTGTGTCTTTATATTTAGAATGCATATTTTGTAGGTAGCACTTATAGTTGAGACTTGCTGTTTTAGACAATCTGAAAATTTCTGTCTTTTTCACTGGGGCATTTAAACTATTTACATTTAAGGTTATCATTAATATGATTAGGTTAAGTCTAACATCTTGTTATTTGTTTTCTCTTTGTCCCAGTTTTTCTCATTTCTCCAATATTTTCAAGATCTTGCTCTACTACCATTTGCCTACATTGTTTCTAATACATTTTCTGTCATACTATATTTGTTCCTCTGCACAAACCTGTCTCATTTTTCCCCCTCATTCTGCTTCTAAAATGTTTCTCATTATCATTGTTTTTGGGAGATTTGATTATGATGTACCTGGTATAACTTTTTTTCAAATTTATTGTGCTTGGGGTTGTTACACTTTTTTAATTTGCATATTTAAAGATTTTAAATTTTAAAAATTTGGAAAATTTTTGACCATTATTTCTTTAAATGTTTTTTTTGTCCCTGCTTC